TCTTGTTCTGACAGTTTGTCTTTGAACATAAAAGTTATAGACCTATAAGGTCTCTTCCTCTATACTACACTAAAGGTTTTTCAAAGCCAGTTCAGACGGTCTTCAAATAACTTTCAGCAGAAGAGGAATTTTTTAATCTATTGTCATCTTGAAGTATTCAGGCTAGCACAAAAATGACAGGCAAAATCGATTTCATCTTTAATGTTTCCTTTGTTGACTCTTTCTGGTTTAGTTGAAGAAAATATTCTGTTTTAAAAAAAAAAAAATTTTCAAAAGAAAATTTTCAGTCCTCTTTTGCTCCTCGCCCATTTCCTGCTGTGTCTAGAAGTATAACAACCAAAGTAGGTTATGGGTGGGAGGAGGAAAAAAACCCACCATTTGATAAATTTAAATTGGTCTCCTTGAAAAAAAAAAAAAAGTGCTTTTGTAGGTAAAATAACTTTCCATCATAGTAAGCACAGGGTGAATTCTTCAGTATCATGATCATTTCTCAGTCCTTGTCAATTAAGGACTCCTTTTTAAAAATAGCTGGATTTCTTCAGCCTCAGTACTTTCAAATTGGTAACTTATTCAAAGGGAAGAAAAAATATGTTAGTCTGTATGGAATTTGAGAATCATTTTTTATTCACAATGATGGGTCTTCATGTGATTCAAATTTTTGAAATTACAAAAACATTTTCCTACTCTACAGGACTACCTGAATGGAGGTTGTAACGATTTAAGGTGGGTGTTGGTCTCTTCTCCTAAGTAACAAGTGATAGGAAAAGAGAAAACAGCTTCAAGTTGCTCCACGGTAGGTTTAGATTGGATATCAGGAAAAGTTTTTCCGCTGAAAGTGTTATTAAGCATTGGAACAGGCTGCCCAGGGAAGTGGTTGAGTCGCTATCCCTGGAGGTATTTAAAAGACATGTAAATGTGGTTCCTGGGGTCATGGCTTAGTGGTGGGCTTGACAGTGCTAGGTTAACAGTGAGGCTTGATGATCTTACAGGTCTTTTCCAACTTAAATGATTCCATGATTCTATATGCCCTTATTTGAACCCATATACAATAAAATTGAGATTGATGTCACTAGAAAGTACCAAACAGAGAGTCATGCTGCTTTGATTAGTATAATCGCTTATGATTCTGTCTAATCAGCCTAGTATTGTTTCCATTATGGAGTCACATTCACTTGTCTTACAGAAGCCAGAAGTAACTCTTCAGTTCATGTTCTTCTAGTGCACATGTCCCTTGTTTGGTTTCTCAAAAAGCATTTGTGACCCAGTATCTGTTTTCAAAAGATTTTGCCATTTTTCAAAGACTGCACAAAAAAAGTGAGCTTGGTCAATCAATTTAGCTGGGAGGAAAGCCATGGTCTCCTGGGAATATCTTGTTCTTGGCTTTTCTGAATGCATTCCCTCTTGATTTCTTTTTATGAGAGCTTAAAGGGGGGCTGCCATGTTCTTTCCCCAGTGATACTGCATCTGTACAACAGAGGAAAGAGCCTTACTGTCTTATACTAGATGACAAACCAACTCTGGCTAGTTCCTTTAAAAAAGGAAAATAGTGGTAAATGGTCTTATATTTTCAAGACTAACAGGAAAAGAGTTATCCACTTACTTCAAGCTAGAGGAAAGATCACAGATGTCTGCCTTGGCCATATGTGTCTCAAAGCCGCAGATCCGGACAAGCTTAAAACGCCTATGACATGGATTCTTGCTTAAGAAAAACTGAGGGATGGAGTACATAATAGTCAGAAATACTTAATTCACAGAATTATGAACATGCATTATGGGTAGAACATTAGTCTGCATTGAGACAGCAAACATCTTGTCAGAAAGATGCTTGTTTGTGGTTTTGCCAAACAATAGGGGTACCTTTGAAGCTTGATATGCATAACGAACAGAGATACCACCTATGGATTAATGAAAGGAGTACAAAATAACATTTTTCTTTTTCTTGATTTAACGCCAACATGAATCAGCCAATGACATGACGTGATGGAATAACCATTAATCAATATTATTAAGAGCTATTCTATCAGGAGGTTTAGCTGCTAAAAAAACAATCAATATTATTAAGAGCTATTCTATCAGGTTTAGCTGCTAAAAAAATGGACAATGAAGCAAGATACTAGAAGAGTGGTTCAATTTTTTCATAGTGGAAAATCAATAGCAGGTAGAAAAGTTGACACCTTTAATACTGCATGAGAGAGATAGCATGATAGGTCATTATCTTGGCGTGATAAACTCTGGTTTCAGTACAGTTTGTATTTGCAAAATAAGAAGCATGGGATTTTGTTGCTGTTGTTGCTGTACTATCTTTAGCCATTTTCCATGCATAAAAGACACCATTTTAATTTCTTTTAATCCGAAAGAGAAACATTTGAACATTATCTAGCGTTTTACAAAGGATTTTACTCTCTTATCTCCTGGACAAATCAGACCGGGACTTAATACTACCTTTGTCAGCTTTGCCAAGTAGTTCCTCAGAGGGGTGTGGGGTTTTCCATTCATAAATCTCCTGCAATTTGCAGGGTCCAAACTTCTGTCCTTTTCTGCATAAACAAAGTGATGTTAACAAGTCAGTGGACAAAGACCAGTGCTTTCAATGATTTGACTAGGATGAAATTGCTAAGTGTTGATACCTTGTTATCTTCTTTCCCAGACAGATATTTACATGCTAGAAATCTGACATAGCAAAAAAATTAGTAACACAGATATTTAGAACAGATATCATCAAGGCTATACATGTACAGAGAATTCAAACGCTAAACACAGTGAGGGACCACGTACTCTTTTACAAAGAATGATTTCTAAACCATGACAGAAAGAAAATTCATTAACTAGTTCAGGGATTAGTTCTGTTTGAGTAATTAATAATAATTACTGGAAATGCAATGAAAAGCCATTGAATGGTACTGTGAGAAGATAAACACTATCATTTGGAATTTAAACTGCATGGAGATCAGCCCCTTTAAGCACAAAAGTTCAGCTCAGTCTGAATGTCTCCAACCTGTAGGGAAAACATCTTGGCAAAATACAAGGGGTTGTTTGTTTGTTTTCCATTTATGTTTGATTTTTCCATGTTGTCTTTCACCAGGTGTCTCAGTAGTTGCTCAGACTGTTAGATAACTGCACTGAAGGGAGCCTCAGTTGGCTGTGATTTCTTTTTACAGCAGGACACATTAGACACTAAGTACTACACATACGCTGATTGCTTAATGTTGTACCATGAGTCTGTGTAAAACTGATTGATTTATTTATTGCTACTTGCTTTTGGATGCAACATAATTGCAGATGAAACATAATGTTCTGAATACAGGCACAGAACAGCAGAGAGTTTTATCAATATGCAAGAGTGAATTCATCCGAGGACTGGAGTACAGCCTTACTTTTGGTACCTATACGGTGGAGGGATAGTGACCAAAAGGAAAAGTCTCTTCGAGCAAGTGCATAGGTTTTATAGTTGCAGATAAAAACAAATCAACTTTTCAAAATCACGTGGTGATTGTTAGCTGGAATATGTGACTTTCTATGCAGGATGCATCTGACAGCAAAGACAATTCTGTGCATATGGAAGTAACAGAATGTTTATCCCGGAATTTCCTCCAGATGTTGCTCCTGCATTTCAATTTTAAAGAGCTGTAAATGTTTTCAGGGGTTTAACATGTGAATATATTGTCTGAACAAGCATCACATCAAAGTTAATGAATTTTGTATAGAGTATTTCAAGTGCTCTGAGGCAGCAATGAAACTTAAAATATTATTTGTATTGGCAGTTATATATTTTACTTTGTGACTGCATCCACTAACTCAAATGCTAGCTATATTGAGGAACTGACATTCCTTTTTTTAAGTACTTCAAAAATTAAATTAGCAGGCCCTTGCAGAATGGCACTTCGCTGAAGCTTTGGGAGTGCAAAGAGCACTAGGTAACATTCTGTGCTGATGATACTTTTCTGTTTCCAATCGGAAACTGAAGAAATTGCATTGTAGAGTAATTTAAAACTCTCTCCGTTGCATGCTCCTGGGAAGAAGTTGATCTTGTACAACAAGAAATCTGAGCTGGCACACTGCAACCTGTTACAAAAGCAGTAGATCGGTCGCACCTGGAAAAGTGTTGGTGGCAGAATTTGTTCCTCAGGTGCACTGGAGGAACTTGTAAGGCATCATGCATCTGCAAGTGTGGGTAAATGGAGCTGCTGTAGCACAGAGAGCTGAGGAACAGAGGACAGGTAGAGTCCAGCTGCTCTGTCTGTCCCTCATAGGCTTCCTGCTACCTTTTCCCTCAGTACCGCTTGAATGAAGTCCCTGTATTCCGTGAAATTACTTCCTATTAAGCATGTGCTTAGCGGAACAACATCTGTCTATTTAAATTTCTGAACAATCCATCCACATTTTTTGGACCAGGCTGAGAACTCTTCCAAAGGATTTATAATGGCATCTTTACATCTCCATAGTTATTCTTCAGCAAAACGGTGTCACAGATTTGATCTTGCTTTCCTTGTTCTTTGATCCTTGATCAGTTTACATCTATTAATTGCTTTAAAATGGGAATACATTTAAAAATACGTCATTCTGACTTTGTCTAAAGAAGACTTATCTATTTAGGTCTAAAATTTCAGCACAAATTAATATAATCCATATCTGCATAGCTTATCTGGTATATTGCTATAATAAATTAATTTCTAGTGCAAAGCGAAACAATCCTTTTAAATAGTGGCTTTAGGCCATTTGTCTCGCATGATTAGCATTTCCGTCTCATTCCTAGGATGTGTGGGGAGGAATCACCTGGTTGCTTTATAACAAAGCAAATTTTAATTAGCTGATGATATAAATGTTTCTTGCCAAGTTAATTTAATATACTATTGTAATTGCATGTCCAATGAACTAATATGTATTTATCACTTGATATTCACATTCAAATGCAAATAAGTATTTATAAAAGCATAATCTCAATGATCTTAAGCATCAAGAGCATATGTTAAAGTAAGAATATTCTTTTTGTTTCTATTTAGTCATCCGTGACTCTTTGGAAGATCATGTTTCCGGAGTGGAGGTCAGGTGTCCCCTGGGCTACTTTCCGTGTGGCAATATCACAAAGTGTTTGCCCCAACAGCTTCACTGCAATGGTGAGGATGACTGCGGGAATCGGGCCGACGAAGACAACTGTGGTAGGTGGCTGAGCCATTGCTTTGTGTCGCTGAAACCCGTGTGCTGCTCACCCTGAGCAGAGAGTTGCGGAGTGTTAGCAAGAAGGAAGTTAAATGTTTTGCAGAGGATTCAGCAGGTATTTAGTTTTGCTGGCAAGGAAGGACCACGTTTTTGTTTGTGTACGGTATCAGTTTATCTGATTTTTATCCCTGCTTTGAACTTGTTTGCATGTGTCATTTTGATGTGTACATATGGACAGACGGTTTGTGTACGGTATCAGTTTATCTGATTTTATCCCTGCTTTGAACTTGTTTGCGTGTGTCATTTTGATGTGTACGTATGAACAGACATGACCTAGCAAAAATCTCTGCTGAGGAAAGGTAGACATATGCGCTAACAGAGTTTATATTAAGCTTAATGTGACATTTTAAGTTGCTTGAGAAATGCAATTAAGAGGAATTTTCAAGTTGTTTCAGAAATCTTTTATGTCCTAACTCAGGAGAATAACCTTGACTGTTTGAGTGTGCTGTACAAGCTTCATGGTTTGGAAATGTCAAAGTCTGAGGGAATACAAACCGTGAGGCCAGTGCTGCCACTGCTGCTGTTGTGATTCTTGTCACTCCTGGCCCCACTGGGTGGTACTACAGTGAACTTGACTTGGTTTGTTGGCTTTGTCCCAGCTGCAAACTGAGTAGGGCGAGGGCATGGGCTTTGCACTGGCATTTACCTGTCCACGCTGCTTGTTTGTGAGGATGGCCTCAGCACTGCTTTAATCTGTGCTGAGCAGCATCTCTCACACAGTGCCTGGACACAGCTCAGAGGGTGGCAGGAACCTGGGATAGTCTGGGAAAGGCCTCCCTATATCTTGTGAGAAGAGATCTTAGCCATTTGGTTGTGAGCTGTGACTGCAGGGAGAGAAGTTTGGCCCTAGCACACTTTATTTACTGGTATTGTCAGCTGGATAGTTTCAGAGCTACTCTCCAGAGCTGCTGATCCACGGCAGATGGGGAAGCTAGACTTCCTATTCCTTAGTAGCCTGCCTCTAGCCATGGAGAGCAGCCAGACGCACGGCTCCCTGCCCCACACGCCGCCTCCAGCTCCCCAGAGCCAGGCAGGTGAACAGTCTGCCTGCTCCAGCCAGGGATGCTGCCATCAGAGCTCAGGGTTGGGAGGGAAAGAATTGGAATATGAAGTGAAAGTTTCAAGCTAAATATACCAAAAGACATTTTCTGAAAGAAATTTCAAAGAAAATACGGTAGTTTTTCAAGCGTTCTCAGCAAAGTCAGTGAGGTTTCGAAAATAGTTGTTCTCACTCTGTCTCTGTGGAGCTGATTTTTGTACCTATGTGTAGTATCTTATTCTTACACCTATTGAATTTCAGTGGTTTACTCCATATGAAAGTCACTTCTAATTCTAATCACATCTAATTGACCCAAAGCATTTTCTAGTTTTATGTCATTTACTGATGCCATAAGCAGACTGTCTGACGCCTGTAATCAAAATCCTGAACAAAATTGGCTCTCATTCTATTCTTCTTCTGTAATTGTCCTGCCCTACAATGGCAGAAATTGCTGACTGTGGAACCCTCTTATGTTTGAGAAGTCCAAGCACCATAAACAGTTGGGTTATCCTTGTTTCAGTTCTGTATAGTACCAGAGAGTCTACATGCAAGGACTTGCTAAACTGTGCAGCTCGTTCAAATGGCAATTAGGGCATACACGGTTTTGTAATGGGATGTACAGGACAGTATAGCCTGCAAGACAATTCAGCTGTGATATTGAATCCTCTTCTGGGTATAGTAATTCAAGAATGAGTTAGCTTCAATTTCTGAAAGCCTAAATTACAAAGGATGAAGAATTATTGTATTGGCTTACTAGGAAACCTACGCTATCAGTGTTTTTCTCATATCTTGGCCTGATAGTCTCATTGAGAAATCTATGTCATGTATAATGCATTAAGGTCATATCCAGCAATTATGTTTTCTCTAAAATTGTTGTTGCAGTCAAACGTTGTTGTTCCAATAAAGGAAGAGTTGCTTCCTTGCCTGAGAATATGGAACATCCTGATGGGATTTTCTGCAGTGCCCCTACACTGTAGTAAGAGTGGGGGTCTTTATGGGATAGCTCTGTGTTGTTACAATTCATCTTGCTTAAAAACCAAGAAAGGAAGCCTCACTGATTAGCTCCCAAGACAAAGAGACCATCCGGCTGTTTGCTGCAGTTTCCCAGGATGACTTCAGTATGCCTGCCTTACGCTAGCAGTTACATCTGGTTACTTCTACCCATTTTTTTACGCTTACAACCTACTTTCCAGTTAAAGTAGTTACTCCTGGTAAACAGAAAAGCAATTCAAAATGAAATTATTCCAGTGTAGTAATTGTTGCATGCAGTAACATTAGAAATTTTAATCTTACCCACAAGATACTCCAGGTAGCTCAACTTCTAAATTCTTGTACACTTTCATCTTGCATAAATTTGGATCAGAGCTTTGAGATGGCAAGTCTACAACATTCAACCCAACAACTGTGGGGAAGGAAAAAATCATTGTAGAACCTCAAAGGAATTAAGAAATACTTTTGGGTTTTTTTTTTGGGGGGGGGAGTTGGTTTGTGGTTTTTGTTTGGTTAGTTTTTGGGGTTTTTTTATTAATGCACGTATCTCAAACACAGCTAAATAAAGCAACTTCTCTACTAATGATTTCTTCAGTAATGGTAAAGCACTATCTTCAGCTTACAGAAGAAGGTTATAGTGAAGACCTGCATATATCTTATGTAGAAGTCAGTATATTGACATAGTGTGGGGAAGGAAAAAATCATTGTAGAACCTCAAAGGAATTAAGAAATACTTTTGGGTTTTTTTTTTGGGGGGGGAGTTGGTTTGTGGTTTTTGTTTGGTTAGTTTTTGGGGTTTTTTTATTAATGCACGTATCTCAAACACAGCTAAATAAAGCAACTTCTCTACTAATGATTTCTTCAGTAATGGTAAAGCACTATCTTCAGCTTACAGAAGAAGGTTATAGTGAAGACCTGCATATATCTTATGTAGAAGTCAGTATATTGACATAAGGAAACACAACGCAAAAATCTGTCATGGACAGTAGTTTTTTTCTGTGAAAATTATGATATTGATGAAGGAGAAGAGGAGGGGGGAAACCAACCCAACACAGAATACTTATTTTGAAAACCATAATACTGCTGTTTGGGGGGGAAAAAAAGAAAAAAGAAAACCAACCGAAAAAAAACCAAACCACCACCCTCCAAAAACCCCAGGTACTTTAAACATAAGAAAATCCAAACTCCAGCTGTTCAATATGTTCAATGCAAGCCCCTAAGTGTGGTGAATATTAACAGCAACTGCAATTACTGAAATAGCACTTTTAAGAGACATCAGTGAATGAAACAAGCAGAGAGGCAATGAGCTTAAAAAGCTCGTCTAGCTCTTCCAAGAGAGTAAAAGTAAATAAATGCCTTTGAAACAAAAAGTAAAAGGCATCAGTGCAAAAGAGACCAACGTGATAGGAACCCCTGAAAATACTGAAACTAGTCACTCCCACTATCTTGTAGCAATTCTGTCCTTTTCCTCTTTTAATGAGTGAAGTTCTCTCGTTCCCCTCTTCGTTCCTATAGATATTTATCATTGTAATCTTTAAGATTATTTGCAATATTAGTCCAGTTTCATGCCGTGCAGGCCCGTAACAGTAAAACATGATGATCAATATTTCACACTAAACTGAATCCTTGCTGAGATGTGTTTTCAGATGTGCTGTAGTTACCATTCGCATCCAACCCAGGCACGTAAAGGTTGGCTTCATGGTGCCTTCTTCAAATCTGCTGCTTCTTTCACTTCCACCATGCTCACTATGTCCAAATAATAGACATAAATCTAAGGTCCAGAGAAGTGAAATGACTTGAAAATAGGATTGTAGGCAGAGTTAGGAACAGACTCGTGGTCTCAGACTGCTGTGTTTGTGTTTAATCTCAGGGTGTGGACATCCCCCTGGTCAGCTCACTTTCAGCATTTTCTCCACTTCTGGAAAGGGGTGAATTGCAGCTGGTATGTTACAGCAGAGTGAAGCCACTTGTCTTTGAAAACTCGCATGCCTTTCTCACCTAGTTGAGTTTCCAAAACCAATAAAATACTGTCTGTGATATCCTGATGGAGAAGGGCTTGAGGCAATGTAGTAAACTGCAGTAAGAGGAGGCAGCTGGCGATTTATCATGCCCAAAGTGATGGGAAGCTTTTTGAACTACCATCAGTAACCTTAAATGTGCATAGAAAATACAATCATACCTTTTGAACTCGAAAACATATCAAGTAGAAGTGGGTGTGTCTGCAAATTTGTAATGAATATGGTATTTTTAAATAAAAATCATTAATTTAAAGTTTCATAATTTGTCATAAAAGCTTAAGGTTTTGAGGACTTTCCTTTTTTAGGCTTGAGTACAGCAGTAAATTTTTCTCTGCTGTTCTGTTCTGTGCTCATCCTTTCTGAAACACTGAGTTCTTGAAAAGACCAAGTGCATTGTTAAACAGTTTAGTCTGTATCACATTTAATTGGAATTATTTTTGTATGTTAGCAAAACGCAAAATACGTGGAAAAAAAATATAGCAAATCCAGCATCCTTCTGTGCCCAAAACTTGATTAAAGCTCAAGTTGGCAGAACAGGGAGTTTGACATTTTTTTGATCTACTGAGACTATGTTTGAGATCAAACATAATGGCTTCAGCCTAATTTTCCAGGAGAGACCTTTTACTGTTTATTGACAGGTATAAGATTTGATTCTGTAGCTACTTGATGTTTATAGAAGGGAGGTTAGGGTATTTTTTTTTTTACTTCATTGCTATTTTAAACATGAGTGGGAAGGATAAGTATGAGGCAGAATCGCAAACTCTGCTCACCTAATGCTATGGCAATGTTGACGTGGGAACTGTTCCTAAAACAAGAATATTTATTACATAGAAGACATTACTGCTGAGACAGTACTGTTAATGTACTCTAAACAATATCTAGGCAAAGCCCT